CGTCTTCTATAAACCACCACGTTCCTGCAAACGGCCCACCCATTTTATTTTTTTCCTTTTTTAAAAATTAATTAATTAATAAATTTTTACAAATAGTTTATTGTCAAGCTGGTTTCATATAACACCCAGTGCTCATCCCCACAAGTGCCCTCCTCCATGCCCATCTCCCCCCTGCCCCCCCCACCCCCATCAGCCCTCAGTTTGTTCTCAGTATTCAAGAGTCTCTCATGGTTTGCCTCTCTCCCTCTCCCCCACTATTTCCTCCCTTCTTCTCCCCCTTGGTCCTCCGTTAAATTCCTCCTAACCCTCCTGTACGTGCAAACATATGATATTTGTTCTCTGCCTGACTTATTTCGCTCAGCATAACACCCTCAAGGTCCATCCATGTTGTTACACGTGGTCAGATTTCACTCTTTCTCGTTGCCATGTAGTATTCCGGTCCACCCATTTTAAAAGGGGGCTCACAACCCTACAAGAATGGACCTCACCCTAGAAAGGGGTCCTTGCCCTACAAAAAAGCTAATAACCTCAGGCCGAGAGAGCAGTCCTCCTATTCCGCGCCCGGAGTAAGTCGCTCTATCGGGGGGGGGGGGGTACCTAACCCTGGAAAGTCACTCAACCCCTCAGTGGGTCTCCTCGGCCGCTTAGTGGGCAACGCTCGCCCTCCGGGAGACTTCTTTGATGTCCGGACTTCCCTCCAGCCTCTTCCCGGGCCCCGCCCACACGGACCCGGCTGCAGATCGGGTCATCTGTGACCTCAGGGACCCTGGGCTCCGCGGGACCTGCCATCCCAATGCGCCTGCGCAGAGGCCACGGCGGCCGGGAAAGGGCCGACGGCACTCGCGGAATGACTACAAATCCCGGCGTGCACTGGGCTTACGGCCGTGCCGGAAGGTCAAGGAGTTATCGGCCCCGCCCCGGAAGATAAGGCGGCTCTCCTCCGCTACGACTTCTCTTCCGGCCGCGCTGGGTAGCAGGTAGGACGTGTTTGTGGCGCGGCGGCTCTGGTACCATCCGCCTTCATCCCCTGCCCTGGGGACCCCTACGAACCCCGGCGGGATTCTTGAGAAAGAGCTGGGGCGCACGGTCAGGGATGGGTGTGGGAAAGCGTCTAGACCTGGAGGGAGGATCCTGGGGAACTGGGACCCTGAAGCTGGGGTGGCGGGGGTACCTGGACCGCCCGGGCGCTGACCGTAAGCCGCCTCCAGACCGCCGCCATGGGCCGCGTAATCCGTGGGCAGAGAAAGGGCGCCGGCTCGGTGTTCCGCGCGCACGTGAAGCACCGCAAGGGAGCTGCGCGTCTTCGAGCCGTGGACTTCGCCGAACGGCACGGCTACATCAAGGGCATCGTGAAGGTGCGGGGAGCCCGCCCGGGCGGGTGGGGACACGGGGCACCCCGCCAAGGACCTGCCGCTCATGCCGCCTCCGCCCGCAGGACATCATCCACGACCCGGGCCGCGGTGCACCCCTCGCCAAGGTAGTATTTCGGGATCCGTACCGATTTAAGAAGCGGACGGAGTTGTTCATCGCTGCCGAGGGCATCCACACCGGCCAGTTCGTGTACTGTGGCAAGAAGGGTAAGCTTCGCGGACGCCTGGGTTGCCTCGTCTGCGGGTTGGTGGCGTCGAGTCCCGCGGTGGGGTTGACGCTGACGGTGTGGAGCTTCTTTGGGATTTTCTTTCGCCCCTTTCTGTGCGCCTGACTCGCTTGCGAGCACCCCCCCCCCCGCAGTAAACTTGGAAATATTTAAAAAAAAAAAAAAAAAAAAAGGATAAGCTTTATCTCTGGGATTGAAGGTCAGAATGGAGAGGGGACTGGACCTGTGGTTGCCAGTGGAGGCTCACATCCTCAGTCCGAGGAGAAACATCTAGGCAAAAGTCTTCTTTAGTGAGACCTGTTTGGCTAAACGTACCAGATGCGGTGCCCAGAGAGCTCCTTAGAAGGAGGCTGGACGTTGAGTGCTGTGCTGTCGTCCTTGGGGACTTACAGAGGGAGCAGGTTTGCTTCTGATCAGCAGCAGTTAAGGAGGACCACTTTGCTGTACTCACCTATGGTGCTTCTTGCAGCCCAGCTCAACATAGGCAATGTGCTCCCAGTGGGCACTATGCCTGAGGGCACTATCGTGTGTTGTCTGGAGGAGAAGCCTGGTGACCGGGGCAAGTTGGCCCGAGCTTCAGGAAACTACGCTACTGTCATCTCCCACAATCCAGAGACCAAGAAGACTCGAGTGAAGCTGCCCTCAGGCTCAAAGAAAGTCATTTCTTCAGCCAACAGAGCTGTCGTTGGTGAGTGGCAGGCAGCAGTTGAATACTGTGTGCTGTGAGTCGCCTGTGATCAGTCAACATCTAGACCTGGGCTTTGGGGCCTGTTAGGCAGGGTTGTCTGTAGTGTGGCCTCATCTGTACTTCTGTGATTCCTGTTGTCACATCTGTGAAGTTAAGAGCTTTTTCAAGGATGTGTTCACTTTTCAAAAAGCTACCCAGTGCATGCCTTAAAGAGGCAACTCTGGTTTGTTTGCTTTCCTATTTGGGCAACGTTTTTAAATTCTTGTGGCAAACCCAAGGGATGCCATTGAATGTAGGTTTTCAAAGTAAGCAAAATTGTCCAAGATATGTGTCAGGCTGGGATAGCCATCTTGTTGGTGTTTGGAAGTTAGATTGAGTGACGTGGTCAGTCAGGGCAAAGTGGGGGCTTCCCTGGAGAATCATGGGTTGAGATCGACATTACAGATTACGTGGGGAAAGGCCTGGCTTGGGTGCCTGAGAAATCTGGAAGAAACTTAATGTCAGTTGCTAGGTTGCAAGGGTTTTAATGCCGGGTGGTAGTTTCAGGGTGTTAATGAAATTTTGGGAGTTGTGTGATGGTGTAGGACTGTAGGAGGGTGATTTGTGTGGGGGTGGCGTACTGGCAAGGATGCTTTCTGCCTCATAGGGTCCTGAAGTTCTGGGAGGGTATGGTGCACCTCTCTGAGGTGCCTCATCTCCCCAACAGGTGTGGTAGCTGGAGGCGGCCGCATAGACAAGCCCATTCTGAAGGCTGGGCGTGCATACCACAAGTATAAGGCAAAGAGGAATTGCTGGCCACGTGTACGTGGTGTGGCCATGAATGTAAGTAGCCCAGAAATGGGCAGTTGGGATGTTCAGGGATTGGGGGCTGAGAGGCTGCACCAACAGGCCCTTTCCTGGAGTGTTCCCTTTCTGTGCTCTCTAACGTGAGCCTCTCTTGTGTTATAGTTTGTTGGCACATGTCAGTTGATCCTACTCTTAACCAAGTCCTGAGAAAGATGGGGTCCACGCCCTTATATTAATACTGCTTTTCTTGCAGCCTGTGGAGCATCCTTTCGGAGGTGGCAACCACCAGCACATTGGCAAACCCTCTACTATTCGCAGAGATGCTCCTGCTGGTCGCAAAGTGGGTCTTATTGCTGCCCGCCGGACTGGGCGTCTCCGGGGAACCAAGACTGTGCAAGAGAAAGAGAACTAGGGATGAGGAGCTTAATAAAATCTGTCCTTTTGCCACGAAGCTGTGCTTGCTCATGGTTTCAGAGGGAAGGGTCCTTGCCCGGAGGACTGCTGTCGAGCCCTTTGTGTTGGGAGGAGGAAGATGAAGTTAGATGTGCCAGTGAACAGTGAAAGCTCTGGAAAACTCAGGTGGGGGTGCTAGGGATCTTCACACCTTGATCCTGGAAACTACCCTGTCCTGCAGTACACAGAGCAGAGAATTTTATCCACATCTTGTGTTAACTTTACAAGTGCTTAGAGGATCTAGGTGAGGGTGTGGATGTTTTGGGGGCACGGTGGTGCTCCTGAAGCTGCAGGCTGGAGAGCCAGGAAGCTATCCTGCAGTGGGAAGCCAGGACCAGGACGGAGTCAGGTTAACCTGTTTCTAAGAACAAATGGGCTTCCTGTTGGCCCAGTGTCCCTTGTCCCAAACTTCGAACAGGCTCATCAAAGGTGGTAGAACCAAGGCAGATGCTGCTGATCCAGCCTGGCACCGAGATGATAGGCTCATCAGTGCCTCAGCACCAGGACACCTGTTTCCCAGAACCCCCTGCCCCAGTGGTTCCCTTTGTGAGCCAGTGTGAGCCAAAGCAGGGGCTGCAGGCCTCTCTAAGTAATCCCTTGAGGCAGGAAGGTTGAGGATAAGAGTAGGTGGCTCGTTGAGGTAGAAAGCTCCTTGTACAGACTGCGTGCAGCAAGGCAAGGGACTGAGTTCTTGGGGACCATCTGAGTGCATTGGAACCCGTCACCTCCGGGTTGTTTTGAGAGGCTGTATGCCCTAGGCTGTCTCTCACTAGAGAGAAGACCATTTTTGTTGCCAGGTGGCTCCTTGTTGGGGTCCACATGTCCATAACATGAACCTTCCCCCCAGGTCTTGCTTTCCTGGTCTCCACTGGCCTCTTGACAACCCACTCCACTTAGACAGTGACCCTAGCAAGGCTAGGCCTTGGTCATGGGTAGGGAGAGTGGGAATTGCTCCTAAATGAAAGAAGGCTAGGCTTGGTCACCTGACCTGTTACCTGCCACTGCTTTACCCTTGGGGATCCAAGAAGTGGCCCTGGGAGGCCTTGTTCCAGTAGCAGGTACCCAGGGGAAGCCCTTACTCTAGTTAGAGTGGACAGTTTGGGTTCAGTATGCCTAACAAAACGGGCTGTAACCATTAAACATCTTGGTGATCTCGTGGCTTTGCCTCTGTAAAGGAAAGGACCAGGTCTTTTGTTGGTAGCAGCGCCTTGAGGGATTACTAGAGAGCTTTTCACTGAAAATTGGTGTAATTTATTAGTCTTCCGAAGTAGATCCCTAAGCCTCCCCTTGCCTCCGAGCTGAAGCTTCGGGGTCATGGTTTCAGGCTGCCACCCGGTGGCGGCGCACGCAATTTCCCGCACTGAGTTTCCAGTTCCTCAGAGACAAACTACCGAGACGTGGAGTCCGTTTCCCAGAGCGGCCTGAAGGTGCCGCTGGTTCGGACGCGGGTGGGGGCGTCACTTCCGGTGGATTTGGCTCGCCACGGCCGGTGGGGCTAGTGGGGCCTGGCCCCGCGGCGGTTCTTCTGCGGTACTGAGGTGAGTGTGGCTGGGCGGGTCGGCGGTGACCGGGAGGTCTCCCGGGCACAGGGCGTCAGCCCTTCCCTGTAGCCACCGCGATGCTCGGGCGGGCCGGGGCCCATCCCGCGGCCGATATCTCCCGCCTGGGGTCCCTCGGGCAGGCCCCCTCCCCACTCTCGGGAGTCCCCTCGAAAAGCCCTGTTTCTGCCCCGGCGTTTTCCGATGGGTCCCCAACCCCGACTGGTGTCCTCCCCAAGTCTGGCGTCCCCCTGTCCGCTCGCCCTGGCCTGGAGTCGTTCGCGCGAGACTCCCCTTCCCGGGTCTTCTGACTCCGGGAGCCTGGGGGTCTCTCCACCGGATTCCTGTCCTCAGGTCGCCCCAAGGGGTTGCGTCCCGGGATGCCCGGGACCCTCATGGCCTGGTGACTCGAGACCCGCTCCTTCCAAGCTCCTCTCCACCCTGCAGACGGTAAACCAGCTCTCCAAGTTCACCCCGCTACCCTAGCCCCCTGCTTGAACCGAGTCTTTCCCTCGCATGTGGGTCCAGGCTGTACTCCCCAGTTCTCCCCAGCCCTCCACCTCCCCGCCCTCTGCCCCCCGCCCCTGCTTCTTCACTGATTCCCCCTGTTCGCTGCCCCTAGCCCCATCTCTCTCCTCACTTCGTCTCTAGCTTGGGGCAGTTAGTGCCAAAACACACGGTTTTCTGTCAACTCTTGTCCTTCCCATTTACCATCCCTCCTCCCGTGCTCTTGGCTTCCTCTTCAGCAGTTCCCACTGATACACAGCCCTTCCCACTCCCTTTTGCCTCTGGCGCTTCCCGGCTTTTCTCTTAGCAGCCACATTTTGATTTCTTTTTAGCGGTCTCTATTCAAGGTCAGGAACTGAAGATTTTTTAAGTAAAAAAAATGCGCCACGTTTTTGTGCTTTGAAAACATTTGGAGACTAAATTATTAAACCCTAGTGACTAGGTATGCCACGTGTATTTCAAGCTTTTCATTGAGAAAAAAAAATGTTTGTTTTAAGCAAAACCCAAGGTCAAGGAAGACTCATGCTGTAGGGACTGAGAGGTGCCCCTCCCCCTCTTTTTTTTTTTTCCCCCAAGTAGGCTCCATGAGAAAGGGGGGCTTGAACTCCTGAGTCTGAGAGGTTAAGAGTCCTATGCTCTACTGATTGAGCCAGCCAGGCACCCCTAATTTTTATTTTTATTTAATTTGTTTTTTAAATTTACATCCAAGTTAGTTAGCGTATAGCGCAACAAAAACAATGATTTCACGAGTAGATTCCTTAATGCACATCACCCTTTTAGCCAACCCCCCCTCCCACAACCCCTGCAGTAAACCTCTGTTTTCCGTATTCAAGAGTCTCTTATATTTTGTTCCCCTCCCTGTTTTTATATTACTTTTGCTTCCCTTCCCTTATGTTCATCTGTTTTGTATCTTAAAGTCCTCATATAAGTGAAGTCCTATGATATTTGTCTTTCTCTGACTGGTTAATTTTGTTTACGTAATGCCCTCTAGTTGCTTGTAGCTGCAAATGGCAAGATTTCATTCTTTTTGGTTGCCAGGTAATACCCCATTGTATATAAACCACATCTTCATCCATTCATCCATCGATGGACATTTGGGCTCTTTCCGTACTTTGGCTGTTGTCAGTAGTGCTGCTATAAACATTGGGTGCAGCATATGCTCCTTCAAAACAGCACACCTATATCCCTTGAGTAAATAGCTACTAGTGCAATTGCTGGGTCATAGGGTAGTTCTATTTTTAATTTTTTGTGACACCTCCACACTGTTTTCCAGAGTGGCTACGCCGGTTTGCATTCCCACCAGCAGTGCAATCGGGTTCCTCTTTCTCTGCATTCTTGCCAACATCTGTTGTTGCCTGAGTTGTTAATGTTAGCCATTCTGACAGGTGTGAGGTGGTATCTCATGGTGGTTTTGATTTGTATTTCTCTGATGATGAGCAATGTTGAGCATCTTTTCATGTGTCGGTTGGCATCTGGATGTCTTCTTTGGAGAAGTGTCTATTCACGTCTTTTGCCCATTTCTCCATTGGACTATTTGTTGTTTGGATGTTGAGTTTGATGAGTTCTTTATAGATTTTGGATACCAACCCTTCATCTGATACGTTGTTTGCACATATCTTCTCTCATTCCATCAGTTGCCTTTTGGTTTTGCTGATTGTTTCCCTCACTGGGCAGAATCTTTTTATTTTCCCTTGCCTCCAGAGATGTGTTGAGTAAGAAGTTGCTGCAGCCGAGGTCAAAGAGGTTCTTCCCTGCTTTCTCCTCGAAGATTTTGATGGCTTCCTGTCTTGCATTTAGGTCTTTCATCCATTTTGAGTTTGTTTTGTGTATGGTGTAAGAAGGTGGTCCAGGCTCATTTTTCTGCATGTCGCTGTCCAGTGTTCCCAGCACCACTTGGTGAAGAGACTGTCTTTATTCCATTGGATATTCTTTCCTGCTTTGTCAGAGATTAGTTGTCCGTATGTTTGTGGGTCCATTTCTGGGTTCTCTATTCTGTTCCTTTGATCTGAGTATGTTTTTATGCCAGTACCATACTTTTTTCAGGATTACAGCTTTGTAATACAGCTTGACATATGGTATTTTTTTAAGAAAGCTGTTGAAGCGAAATTGCTCTTAGAGGCATGGTACCCAGTCCTATTTGCTTCCCTAAAGCAACCCTTATTTTGAACAACATACTTTCAGCAGTTTTTTGGGTTTTTTTGTTTTAGTTTTATTGGGATGTAATTGATAAACAGGAATTGTATAAATTTTAGGTGTACACTTGATGTTTTGATCTGTGTATACATTGTAAGATAATCACATTCAACTTAATTAACATGTCCATCACCTCACGTAGGCATCATTTGTTTTTTTTTTTTTTTTTTTTTTTTTTTTTTTTTTTTTTTTTGAGGGAGAGAGCAAGCATGAGTGGGGGAGAGACAGAGAAAGAAGGAGAGAGACAATTACAAACATGTTCCTTGCTGTCAGCACAGAGCTGGACACAGGTCTCAGTCTTAGGAACAGTGAGATCATGACTGGAGCTGATATCAAGAGTCGGGTGCTTAACCAACTGAGCCGCCCAGAAGCCCTTTTTTTGTTTTCTCTGTGGTAAGGATGTTTAAGATCTACCCTCTGAGCAAGTTTCACAGTTACAATACAGTAGTGTTAACTGTTGTCACAGGGCTGTACATTGTATCTCCAGAACTTAGTCATCATGAGCAACTGAAAGTTGTACTCTGATGAATATCTGTGCATTTTCCCCAACCCCCAAACCCTAGCACCTTACCATCATTCTACACTCTGCTTCTATGGACTCTTAGATACATGTTAGTGAGATATATTTGTCTTTCTGTGTCTAGTAGTATTTATCTTTTTGTGTCTTTCTAGTAGCATTTGTTATATAGTATTTGTCTTTCTGTGTCTAGTTTATTTCACTTAGCATAATATTTTCCAGGTTTACCCATGTTGTAGCAAATGGCAAGATTTCATTCTTTATGGCAGAGTAGCATTCCATTGTGTGTATATATCACATCCTATATCCCTTCATCTCTCTAGAGCACTTAGGTTGTTTCCATGTCTTGCCTATTGTGAATAATGCTTCAGTGACTATGGGAGTGCACATCTCTTTTTGAGGTAGTGATTTCATTTCCTTTGGATAATATAACAAGTGGGGTTGGTGGATCATGTGCTAGTTTTATTTTTAATTTTTTTCAATCTCTTTTTAATGTTTTATTTATATCTGAGAGAGAGGAAGAGAGACAGTGTGAGCAGGGGAGGGTCAGAGAGAGAGGGAGACACAGAATCCGAAGTTGGCTCCAGGCTCTGAGCTGCCAACACAGAGCCCAATGTGAGGCCCAAACCCATGGACCATGAGATCATGACCTGAGCTGAAGTTGGACGCTTAACTGACTGAGCCACCCAGGTGCCCCTATTTTCAGTGTTTTGAAGCACCTCCACATTGGTTTCCAGAATGGCTGCCCCACTTTATATTCCCACCAACAGTGCACAAGGGCTCCCTTTTTCCCGTATCCTCACCAACATTTTCTTGCGCTTTTTGATAATGCTCATTCTGACAGGTGTGAGGTGATGACTCGTTGTGGTTTTGTTTGCAGTTCTCTAGTGATCTTGAGTACTTTTTCATGTGCCTGCTAGTCATTCTTGTGTCTTTTAGGGGAGAAATTTAGGTTCTTTGCTCATTTTAAGTTGGGCTTTTGGGTTTTTTTTTTTCCTACTGAATTGTGTGAGGTCTTTATATATTTTAGATCTTGATTCCTTATCAGATAAATGGTTTGTGAATATTTTCTCCTGTTTCTTAAGTGCCTTTTCACTGTTATTATTTTGCTGTCAACACATTTTCTTATACCTTTACCTACCTACTAGTGTATTTGTGTTTAAAAATCTGCACACCACTTGCATACCATTATATACTGTTGATACTCTACACTTAACAGTTTCACTCAATCTTACAGCTTTATACTGCCTCTGACATTGATGTGGTTCATTTCTTTCAACAACTGGCGGTGTGACTGTTCGCTGATGGTAGATATTGAAGTTTTTTTGTTTTTTTGGTACACAAGCACATGCTAACATTCTTGTGTATCTTCTTGTGTGCATTAGCAAGAGTTTTATAGGGCACATACTTAGAATTAGGGTTTCTGACTGAATTTGCAGGGTTTCAGCTCTGCTAGGTGGTGCCAGGTGTATTTCCACATGACTGTACCAGTTTATACTCTATAGGACTCTGAAGATCTCATTGTTCCTTATGTCTTCAACATTTGATATTGTGAAACGTTTTATATTTTCCCCAGTCTTTGGGGAGAGAAGTCTTGAATTTATATTTCTCGAATTCTCAATGACATTGAAGAGGATTTCAACTGTTTATTGGACTCTTTGATTTCATTATCTGTGACTTACCAAGTCATCATGTGTTTACTTTCTTAAATTAATGATCTTTTCCTTTTTTTGTATTTTAAAATATATTCTGTGTATCTTTTCTTATGTCTTTCACTCTGCATCTTGCCTTTTTTTTTTTTTTTAATATTAGTGTATATTTATTTTTGAGAGAGACAAGCTGGAGAGGAGGAGAGAGAGAGGGAGACACAGAATGTGAAGTAGGCTCCAGGCTCCAAGCTGTCAGCACAGAGCCTGACATGGGGTTCAAACCCATGAACCATGAGATCATGACCTGAGCCAAAGTCGGATGCTTAACCGACTGAGCCACCGAGGCCCCCCTCTGCATCTTGTCTTTTAATTTTGTTGTGTCTTGTACGGAAAAATAATTTTGGAGTAAAATTAAACAATTTTTCTTCTATGGACTGTATTTTGCATATTATTTGCTTAGAATAGCTGTAATTTTTAAAAAGTATTTAGGTCTTCTATGTGCTTAAAATATACTTTTGTTTGCCATAGGAGGCAGGGATTGAATTTTATTTTCCTATGGAAAATCAGTTGTATTGGCACCATTATGAATAGCATGCCATTAACATATGCATGGGTCTGTTCCCGATCTTCTTTACTGTGCTCACACTTTGCTCTTATTATTGTAGCCTTACAGTAAGTCTTGCTAGGTGGTAGGCATGCCCTTGCCTATCTTAGTTCTTTTTTGACACCGTCTTGGTTAATTGTGGATCATTATGATATTAAGTCATTTTGGTGAGATTTCACATTATGTCCTGTTGGAGTTTTGATTGCACAGAATTAATTAGTTTAGTTGAGGAGAGTTGACATTTTTATGATATTGAGTCTTCCTATTTATGAATACTGTCTGTTTATCCATAGGTCTTTTTAATGTCCTTCAATAAAGTTTTACCATTTTGTTCCCGGCATTTTGGACCACACTCTGATGGCCATTGCTGCATGTATGGTATGTAGAGTTGTGTCCCCTCCATTTCATTTCATTTCATTTCATTTCATTTCATTTCATTTCATTTCTTAGAGAGAGAGTGAGTAGAGGAGAGGAACTGGTGGTGGGGGGAGAGAATCTTAAGCTGGCTCCATTCTCAGCATGAAGCCTGATATGGGGCTTGATCCCATGACCCTCAAGTCATGACCTCAGCCAAAATGGAGAGTTGGATGCTCAACTGACTGAGCCACCCGGTTGCCCCCTGCCCAACTTTTTTGTTTTTAATAGCATTTCTTTTTCCATCTCTTTTCTGCTGCCTCCCCTGCATTAGACTTGCCAGATGTTTGTTATTAGCATTTTAAAGAACTAGTGTTGAGGTATTTTCTGTTTCTTAATTTAAATATTTTTAAATGTTTATTTTGAGAGAGAGTATGTGCACAAGAGGGGTGCAGGGCAGAGAGAGGAGGGAGAGAGAATCCCAAGCAGGCTCCACACTGTTAGTATGGAGTCCATCTTGGGGTTCTATCTCACAAACTGTGAGGTCAGGTCATGACTTGAGCTGAAATCAAGTCAGATGCTAAACCAGCTGAAGTACCCAGGTGCCCCAGAGATTATTTTGTTTCTTTAAATCGAATGTTCTTTATTTTCTTCTATCTTTTTTTGAATTCAGTTTTCTTAGTCTGTGTTTAATTTCTTATTGAATGTTTAGATCATTTTTTTCAGTCTGTCTTATGCTAAAATAAGTGCATTAAGAATGCACCTTTTTCGGGGTGCCTGTGTGGCTCAGTTGGTTAAGTGTCTGACTCTTGTTTTTGGCTGGGGTCATGATCTCTTGTTTGGTGAGTTCAAGCCCCTTGTTGGGCTATGCACTGATGGTGTGGAGCCTGTTTGGGATTCTCTTTCTCCCTCTCTATATGCCCCTCCCCTGCTCGTGCTCTCTCTCTCAAAATAAATAAATAAACATTAAAAAAATTTCGAACAATGTACATTTTTTGTTAGGTGGCCTTTGTTTCCATTTCTAAGGTTTTCTGGAAAGGGGTGCTTGTTTCTAGCATCTGTTTCTAGCATAACAACAATCTGATGAGAGAATGTTTTGCCAAATGATGTCAGCTTTTGGAAGTTTTCAAATCTTTCCTTGTGGCCTGGTTTGTGAGATTTTTTCAATAGTTTTGAATGTACATCTTGGAAAATGTGTATTCTCTATGTTTCAAGTAACTATTCTCTCCTCAGTCTCTTGCTTCTGAGGGAAGTGTGTTAAAATCTCTCATTCCAGGGGAGGTGTGCCAGGTTCCTCTTTGCTACTTCAGTTAGCATTGGCTTTCTCCAGTTTGAGTTTGTTGGTAGATACATGCGTGTCTGTAATTACAGCTTTTTGGTGGATTTCCTTTTTATTTATGTGTATTATTCATTAATGAGTTTTGCTTTCAGTTCTGTCTTAATTGGTATAAATAAATGGTGAACCACACATAGCAATGCATAGTAAGTTCAGAAATACCATGAATGAGGGGAAGTAGCCAGAAGAGTGTGGACAGCTTATTGGTCCTTCGATGAAGTTCACCAGAAGCACAGCTGATCCGTGGTGGTGACATTCAGGGTAGAGTTTCACTCTTGGCAGTTCAGGGAGGAAGTAGTGCTCACAGGGGCAGGAAAGCAGACCTCAGGACTGGTTCTGAGGGTGTGGGCCCTTGTGATTGCCCCTTGAGCTATGTGTTCAGGATTTCTTGACTCTTCTTCGTAAAAGTCATATTTCAATAAAGAGCTTTAAAGGTTGGGGAGTCTGGGTGGCTCAGTCAGTTAAGCGTCCGACTTCGGCTCAGGTCATGGTCTCACAAACCCTTGAGCTATGTGTTCAGGATTTCTTGACTTTTCTTCGTAAAAGTCATATTTCAATAAAGAGCTTTAAAGGTTGGGGAGTCTGGGTGGCTCAGTCAGTTAAGCGTCCGACTTCGGCTCAGGTCATGGTCTCACGGTTTGTGGGTTCAAGCCCCATGTCAGGCTCTGTTCTGACAGCCAGCTCAGAGGCTGGAGGCTGCTTCAGATTCTGTATCTCCCTCTCTCTCTGCCCCCTCCTGCTCACGCTGTCTTTCTCTCTCTCTCTCTCAGAAATAAATAAAACATTAAAAAAAAAAAAAAAAGGTAAAGAAAAGGTATATATCTTTTATAGCTTTATTTTCATTAGTGTTTGTCTTACATCCAGCATTTCTGCCTTACTTTTTTTTTTTAGGTTATGTAGATGCATTTTGTGCATCTGTCGGAGAGTCTGGTGCTTCTAGTAGGTGAGTTTAATCATTTTATTTCTTTTCATCACTCATCCACTGAATTGTTCCTATCGCTTTTGTATTTTTTGCCATCTGTACTTTGACTTTGTTCTCTGCCTTCTGTTGATTTTTTTTTTCTTTTTCTTCTCAACACATACCATGTTGTCTTTACTTTCTCACATAAAGTAAATGAGTATCTTCATCTTCCTCCTGAATGAGATAGCTTGGCGTGTCAGGGAGGTTGAGGGGAACAGATGACCTGAGGAGTTGGGCACGTGTACGTGTACTGGGCGCAGGGTTGGGCAGGACAGGCCTGGGAGGCGAGCTGTGCCCTGATGGGGGTGAACATAGTCCTGAAGGTGCCACAGGAGGGGCCAGGCTGGGCCTCCACGTGTTCCTCTCTCTTTCCTCAGCACCAGTGTGACTTACTGCCCACTTCCTTCCCTTGGAAGCGCAGGGTACCAGGCGATGGCGGCATTCCACCTGTCTGCCCTGCCGCAGGTGAGCATCCATTTTCCCTGGGAGGTGTGAAGTCTCCTCTGCCTCAGCAGGTACTGTCAGGCATGTCTGGTCGGGGGCGTTGAGCAGAAGAGTGGTGACCCTGGGACTCCCCAGACTTCCTGAGTTAGCTGGCTTATCAGCCCAGGGCTCGGGCTACTCCCCTGGGTCATGCTGGGGGATCATTTCTGTAGTCGCCCCTGTGTCGCTGCTCCTAGTATGCTTCTGCGGCCCCTGCCCCCAGGGCCCACCCTGAGCCGCACCTGGGCCTGCAGCAGCCCTTGTCATTCCAGGCTGAGGTGACCTTTGAGGACGTGGCCGTGCTATTCTCCCGGGAGGAGTGGGGCCGTCTGGGCCCTGCTCAGAGGGGCCTCTACAGGGACGTGATGCTGGAGACCTACAGGAATCTGGTCTCCCTGGGTAAGGCCCCTCACTAGGATGCAGCTCAGGGAACAGCCCTGGGAACTGAGGGCTCAGCAGGGGTTGGGCTGGGGGCCTCACCCCCTGGTCCTAGGCAGGCCTGGTCTACACAGAGGTGGGGCCAGTCTGTACTTCTCTCATCTGACTCTGAGCTCCCAGATAAGAGTGCCTCCCTGCTCCAGCCCCAAGACAGACCCCTCCCGAGAGGGATTGTGTCCCTCCCAAGTGGAGAGAGCCCTCTGTGCTCTTGTTCCCTGTGCTCAGGTCTCTTCATGACCACCCCCAGCCCTCCAGAGTGTCCAGATTCCCTGTCACCCCACTTTGCCTGTGCTCCTCCTTCTGCCACAGGAAGGAGATCCTGTGAGATCACGCTCAGTGCAGCCCTGATCCTTGGCACTAACCCCAGGTCCTGTTTCTTCCTAGGAGCTGGACATGCAGGTCCCAAGCCTGGGGTGATCACACAGTTGGAGCGAGGGGATGAGCCGTGGGTCCTGGATGCACAGGGTGTCAAGGGGAAAGGGCGACGAAGAGTGAGTGTCTCAGGTGCGTGAAGGGGCCACTTTCCCAACAGTTGCTGAATAAGCATTTGTTGGGGTCCAGGGTATGTGGTTAATAGCTCAGGAATTGAGAACAAGGTGCATCAGGGCAGTCCTGGGAGTAGCCTGTGCTGAGATCCAGGTCACCTCCATCAGCTGAGTACCTCATTGTGGTAATTCTTGAGCTGAATCTTCTGGGAGTGTGAGAGGGGTCATTGTTGGCAGAGAAGAGAAAGGGCATTCAGATATGCCTTGAGTGAAGGCTGAGTCCGTGGGACCTCATGGAGCCCTGCCCTCCAGAGTTCATGCCCTGTGAGGAGGGTCAGATAGGGCCATAGTGGTGGGGACCGTTGCTTCACTCTCCTTTTCTAAAATGACCACTTGACAGTCATGGACCATACAAGATAGAGTATCTCATCACCCAGATACCAGTGTGTTCTGTTGTGTCCCTGGTTCTAGAAGAACCAGGATAAACCTTAAGTTTATAGCTCAGTGAATTTTTTTAAATTTTTTCTTTTTTTTTTTTTTAAGAAGCTGGGCTTTTTTTTTTTTTTTTTTTTTTTTTTTTTTTTTTTTTTTTTAAAAAATAATATATATATAAAAGAGAGAGAGACCGTGTGAGCAGGGGAGGGTCAGAGAGAGAGGGAGACACAGAATCTGAAACAGGCTCCAGGCTCTGAGCTGTCAGCACAGAGCCCGACGCGGGACTTGAACCCACGAACCATGAGATCGTGACCTGAGCCGAAGCCAGACACTTAACCGACTGAGTCACCCAGGTGCCCCAGTGAATTTTTGTAAAAATCTTCCAAATCAAGATGTAGAACGTTTCTAGTTCTCTGGGAGTCCAGTGGGCCTCCTATCATTTCCCACTGCTCCTCACAGGGCCCTTCACTCTGCCTCTTAGCTCTGTGTCTGGTCTCATGCAGGGCATCTGAGCATTGTGAGGGCTGCCATGCTGTACACAGTTTGTTTTCTTTCATCGCCACATGGTGTTCTTTTGTGGGGGAGAGAAGATCCGAAGGACACTCCACATGGATGCGGGACTTGAATCCACGAACTGTGAGATGATGACCTGAGCTTAAATCAAGTATTGGATGCTTAACCAACAGGCACCTAGGCACCCCAAATTATTTTCCATTCCTGCTGACATTTTGTTGTCCCCATTTTGGGGTTGTTATGCATGTTTCTCTTGGTTCACAGAGAATATGTGACAGTATGTTTCTGCAAGGGGAGTTGGTGTATGACTGGTTAGGGAAGGAAGGAATGGGGGCTTGAGGGTATCAGGAACTGTTCTGTATGGCATCTTGAGTTTAAGGGGCCAGTAGCTAACTGATTGCCTCTCAGGCCCCTGAGAAAAGATGCAGGAATGAATGTGGCCTGCTAGGGAGAGCTCAGGGACACCGGGACCATGGTTAGTACGAGGTTGGCCTTCTGATGTCCTTAGGAGGCAACTGGTTTTCCTACCGTGAATTTGGGGTGAGTTAGTGCTGTTAGGTGTCCTTAGACCCGCTTCTTTGTCAGATGTGCTCTGTGACTTTCAGGGCCCCACTGGTCTCCATGGTGGTATGAAGCTTCCATGTTCTGTCCCTTTGTAATGAGGACCTGCACCCTATAGCCCCACCTAGGAAGGCTTTGTGGACAGAAGGCAGGCAGGAAGAATGAGTCAGGCCTGGTTTAAATGACACAAGACTACAACTTTGGGTAAGGTCTTTAAGCATCTAAGCTGTAGGCTCTCATCTCTGCAAGGGGTTGTACCTCTGGAGATGATGGAATTGGGATGGTGCTGATAGTTGACAGCATCTTCGTACCTTCCTTCTGAAGTCAGAACAGGTGACCCTGAGATGTGTTTCTTGTTTCAGCTCATGGGACCCGGACTGAGTACAATGAGTTGTCTTCGGGAGACATGCTTGATGGGGAAGAACTGGATCAGCTTCAGATGGCTGTTTCTCAGGGACCTGAGACTGGAGAGGCCCATGCATGTGTCAGGGAGCCAGATGGGAGCCTGGACAAACCTGCGGAACGGAGATGCCTGAGACCAGTCACATGGACCAATGAGGAGAGCTGCCAGGAGTCTGCAGGGGGCCTCACGTTCCGGTCAGGCTCCGTCTCTGACCAGAGACCTCACCAATGTGATATATGTGAACAAAGTTTCGAACAGAGATCATACCTCAATAACCATAAGCGTGTACACAGGTCAAAAAAGACAAACGTAGTTCATGATTCTGGGGAATCCTTCAGTGCAAATATAGCTAAAGAAGATCAGAAAATTCCTCTTGGGAAAAAATTGCATTATTGTGGTTACTGTGGGAAAGCCTTCAGGTACAGTGCTAACCTCGTCAAACACCAGAGGCTTCACAGTGAAGAAAAGCCCTACAAGTGTGAAGAGTGTGGTAAAGCCTTCAGCCAGAGCTGTGAGTTCATCAATCACCGAAGGATGCACTCAGGGGAGATCCCCTACCGGTGTGGTGAGTGCGGGAAGACGTTCAACCAAAGGCCCAACCTCATGAAGCATCAGAGGATTCACACCGGGGAGAAGCCCTACAAGTGTGGTGATTGCGGGAAACACTTCAGCGCCTATTCTTCCCTTATTTATCACCAGAGAATCCACACTGGAGAGAAACCCTATAAGTGCAGTGACTGTGGGAAAGCCTTCAGTGATGGCTCAATCCTCATCCGACATCGTCGCACTCACACTGGAGAGAAGCCATTTGAGTGTAAAGAATGTGGCAAAGGCTTCACCCAAAGTTCTAACCTTATCCAACATCAAAGAATTCACACTGGGGAGAAACCCTATAAATGTAATGAATGTGAGAAAGCCTTCATCCAAAAAACCAAACTTGTTGAACATCAGAGAAGCCACACTGGGGAGAAGCCCTATGAATGTAATGACTGTGGCAAAGTCTTCAGCCAGAGCACACACCTTATCCAGCATCAGAGGATCCACACGGGAGAGAAGCCGTACAAGTGCAGTGAGTGTGGGAAGGCCTTCCACAACAGTTCCAGACTCATCCACCACCAAAGGTCACACCACGGGGAGAAGCCGTACAAATGCAGCGATTGCAAGAAAGCCTTTAGCCAAGGTACTTACCTCATCCAACACCGGAGGATCCACACTGGGGAGAAGCCCTATAAGTGTGGCAAGTGTGGGAAAGCCTTCCGGCACAGTTCCAACATGTGCCAGCATCAGAGGATTCACCTCCGGGAAGACTTCGCCAGGTGACCGTGGAAGAGGGCCCATGAGTTCTGCTGTGCACTTCCCCAATGTGACCACCCCCCACACCCTCTATCTGTTGTCCATACAGCGTTGTCACAGATGAAGGGCATTTCTAATTAGAAACAGACAAAACTCTTTTTTTCTTAAACCCAAAGCAGTGCATGTTTATTTTAGATAAATTGAGAGAGAGGTAAGCAAAAAGGAGAAGTTCTTGTAATCTCCCTCACTTAGAAAATGAATCCATTACTGCTGATTCAATATAAACTTCCTTTCACACAGTTCAGAGCGTTATCGAAAGAAAATGCTACATGCTTGACGTTGCAGCACGTAGGATCTTCACTTTTACTGGTTCCTGGATCCTAGAAAACTCACACTGGAAAGAAGCATACATATTTACATATTTTTAAATCTTGTAAATTTTAAAGATTAGCATAATTTTGATGCTTTTCTGTGTATCTTAATAGAGTTGATAATTGCTGTTTTTATTGTGGTAAAATATACATAACCTAAAATTTATCATTTTTACCATGTTTAGATGTACAGCTCAGTGGCGTTAAATATACTCACAATGTTGTATTACCATCACCACTATTTCCAGAACTGTTTTACTCTCTGAAGCAGAAACTCTGTACCCATTAAATAATAACTCTCCATTTTCCCCTTCTCCCAGCTGCTGACAGTCTATTCTATTTTCTGTCTATGCATTTGCCTATTCTAGTTGCCTCATATGTGAAGTCATACAGTATTTGCCCTTTCTATCTAGCTGATTTCGCTTTGCATAATGTTTCTTCAAGGTTCATCCATGTTGTAGCCTGTATCACAAACGTCTTTTTTTTTTAACGCCTGAAAAATAGGACCTTGATTTGTAGATACCATGTTTATCCATTCATCTGTTAATGGGCACTTGGGTGTTTCTACCTTTTTTGGCTGTTGTGCATACTGCTGGTATGAATGGGTATACAAGTATTTTCTTGGGTCCTTTCAGTACTTTTGGGTTTAATCCTGGGAGTGAAATAGCTGGATCATATGGTAATTCTACGTTTAACTTTTTGAGGAGTGGCCAGACTTTTTCACAGTGGGCAGTAACGTTATACATTCCCACCAGCAATGATTAGAAGGTTCTAATTTCTCCATATTCCTGCCAACATTTGTTATTTTCCATTTTTTAATCTTTGATTTATTTATCTCTGTATGCAACATGGGTCTTGAATTCACAACCCTGAGATGAAGAGTGGCATGCTCTTCTGACTGAACCAGCTAGGCATCCCAATCTTTCCATTTTTAAAAATACCTATACTAATGGGTGTGAAGTGGTATCTCATTGTGATTTTGGTTTGCATTTCCGTGATGACTAATGATGTTGAGCATCTTTTCAGGCACTTATTGGCCATTTGTATATCTTCTTTGGAGAAATGTCTGTCCTAGTCCTTTGCCAACATTTGAATTGGGTCTTTTTTTATTATTGAGGTATAGTTCTTTGTATATTTTGCATAGTAATCCCTTATCAGATATATGATTTGCAAATATTAACCTCATTCTTTGAGTTCTGTCTACTGTTGTTAATGTCCTTTGATGCACAGTTTTTAATTTTTATGAAGTTCAGTTAATTTTTTTACTGTTTTTTACTGTTGTTGTCTGTGCTTTGTGTGTCCTATTCAAGAAATTGCTAAGTCCAAGGTTAGGAAGATTTGCCCCTCTGTTTTTTTCTGAGTTCTGTCGTTTTAGGTCTTACATGTTTTTGGTCTTTGATCCATTTTGAAGTAATTTTTCTATATGGTATATGGTAAGAGTCCAAATTCCTTCTTTTGGAAGTAGACATCCAATTTTCCTTACAATATTTCTTTTTTATTTTATTTTATTTTGTTTTTATTTCTAGGAGAGAGAGAGAGAGAGACAGCATGAGTAGGGGAGGGTCAGAGAGAGGGGGAGTCACAGACTCTGAAACAGGCTCCAGGCTCTGAGCTGGCAGTCAGCACAGAGCCCGACGCAGGGCTCGAACCCACGAACCGCGAGATCATGACCTAAGTGAAAGTCGGACGCTTAACTGACTAAGCCACCCAGGCGCCCCTTCCTTATAATATTTCTAAAAAAAAAAATGTTTGTTTATTTTTGAGAGAGAGTGCAAGTTGTGGATGGGCAAAGAAGGGGAGAGAGAGAGTCCTAAGTAGGGTCTGTGTGTCAGCATGGAGCCCGATGGGCTTGAACCCACAAACCGTGAGATCATGACCAAAACCAAGAGTCGGACACTTAACTGACTGAGCCACCCAGGCTCAGTACCCCCACCAACAACTTTTTTTGAAAAGACTTTGCTTTCCCCATTGAAGGGTGTATAGGCATACCTCAAAGATATTGTGGATTCCGTTGCAGACCACTGTGATAAAGCACATATCTCAGGAAAGCAAGTCAAATGAATTTGTGGTTTCCCAATTCATATAAAAGTTAACATTTATACAACAGTGTATTAAATGTACAATAACATACCTTAATTTAAACAGTTTATTTCTAAAAAATGCTAGCCATCATCTGAGTTTTCAGTGAGTCATAATCGGTGGTTATAGATTACCATAACAGATATAATTAAAAAGTTTGAAGTACTGAGAAAATTACCAAAATGTGATAGACACATAGTGAATCAATGCTGTTGAAAGAATGCTGCCAGTAGACTTGCTTGACATGGGATTGCCACAAATCTTTAGTTTGTAAGAAACACAATAAAGCAAAACACAATAAAACAAGGTATGCCTGTATTGGCTCAGGCTGCCATTAAAATACCACAGAACTGGTGGCTTAAAAAACAAATTTATCAAAAACAAATCTGTTTGTCATAGTTCTGGAGAGTAAGTCCAAGACCAAGGTGCCAGTTAACTCAGCCCTGGTGAGGGTTTCTTCCTGGCTTAGACACAGCTGTCTTCTCACTGTGTCCCCACGTGTAGAGAAGAAGGTCTCAGGTGTCTCTTCCTTTCATAAGGGCATCAGCCCTATCAGATTAGGCCCCACATTTATGACCTTATTTAACCTTTATCACCAGTTGACCATCCCTGTCTACAAATACAGTCACCTTGGGGGTTATAGCTTCAACGTCTGAATGGTTGGGGGAGGACACAGTTCATAAAAAATTGGTCTTGTGCCCTTACTTAAATCAATTGATGACATATGCAATAGTTTATTTCTGGGTTCAGTTCAATTCATCTATATGCCAGCACCATACTGTTGATTACCATGGCTTTGTAGGAAGTTTAGAATAGGAAATAAGTCCTTCAACTTTTGGCTTTTTTAAAAGTTAACTATGAGAGAGAGAGTGTGAGAAGAGGAGGGGCAGAGAGAGAATCCCAGGTAGCCTCCACACTGTTAGCATGGAGCCCAATGTGGGGCTTGAACTCATGAACTGTGAGATCATGACCTGAGTAGAGATCAAGGGTCTGACACTTAAAACGATGGAGCCACCCATGTGCCTTTATTTTTTTTTTAAGATTTTATTTTATTTATTTTTTAATGTTTATTTTTGAGAGAGAGTGAGCAGGGTAGGGGCAGAGACACACAGAATCAGAAGCAGGCTCCAGGCTCTGAGCTGTCAGCACAGAGCCCGATGTGGGGGCCGAACTCCCGAACCAGGAGATCGTGACCTGAGCCGAAGTCGGACACTCAACTGACTGAGCCACCCAGGTGCCCCTTAAAGATTTTACTTTTAACTAACCTCTACACTCAACATGGGACTCGGACTCACATCCCTGAAATCAAGAGTTGCATATTCTGCTGAGCCAGCCAGATACCCCAGCTTTGTTCTTTTTCAAGATGTTTTTGGCTATTTGGGACCCCTATGTGGGGTTCCATATGAATTTTAGGATGAGTTATTCTATTTCTGCAAGATCACAGCTTTTGATAGGGACTGCATCTGATCTGTAGGGTAGTATTAATCATATCATGTCTTCCATTCAATGAACATGGGATGTATTTTCATTTGTTTATATGTTCTTTAACTTCATGATCTTCGCTGGTTTTCAGTGTACAAGTGTTGCTTCCTTTGCTAAATTTATTCCTAAGCATTTTATTTATTTTATTACTATTGTGAATAGGATTGTTTTCTTAATTTCTTTTTTGGATTGTGCATTATTGTTTTGTAAAGACCTAAAATTTTTTTTTTTTACACTTAATATATTTTTCAGAGGGAGACAGAGCCCAAGCGGGGGAGGGACAGAGAGAATGAGACACAGAATCCAAGGCAGGCTCCAGGCTCCGAGCTGTCAGCACAGAGCCCAACGCAGGGCTCGAACTCACAATCCGTGAGATCATGACCTGAGCTGAAGTCGGACGCTTAACTGACTGAGCCACCCAGGTGCCCTTGTTCATTGTTAATGTATAGAAATCAGCTAATTTTTATGTCTTGATCTTGTATCCTGCTAATTTGCTGAATAAGTTTGTTCTTAAGATGTTTTTGGTTCTGTATTTTGGTTTTGCTTGTTTCTTTGTTCTGGTGTGTGCATTTTTAGGGTTTTCCACATATAAGGTCATGTCATCTGTAAACTGAGCTAGTTTTACTTCTTTTCCAAATTGGGTGGTTTGTATTTATTTTCCTTGCCTAATTGCTCTGGCTAGGATTTCCAGTACTTTGTTGAATAGATGTAGCAAAAGTGAGCATCTGTGGGGTGCCTGGGTGGCTCTGTTGGTTCAGCATCTGACTCTTGATTTTGGCTCAGGTCACGATCTCATGGTACATGAGTTTAAGCTCTGAGTTGGGCTCTGTGCTGACAGCAAGGAGCCTGCTTGAGATTCTCTCTCTCCCTCTGTCTGTCTGCCCCTCCCCTGTTCTTGCTCTCTTTCTCTTTCTCTCTCTCTCAAAATAAACATTTAAAAATTTTTAAGAAAGAAATGAGCATTCTTGTTTCTGATCGTAAAGCCTTCAGTCTTTCCCAATTATGTATGAGGTTTTTCTTACATGATTTTTATCATGTTGAGGAAGTTTCTTCTTATTTCTAGTTTATTGAATGTTTTTATCAAGAAGCTGTGAAATTTTGGGGCAACTTGGGTGGTTCAGTCGGTTAAGTGTCCAGCTTCAGCTCAAGTCATGATCTCGTGGTCTATTAGTTTGAGTCCCGCGTCAGGCTCTGTGCTGACAGCTCAGAGCCTGGAGCCTGCTTCTGATTCTGTGTCTCCTCCTCTCTCTGCCCCTCCCCGGCTTGCACTCTGTCTCTCAAAAATAAACATTATTGGGGCGCCTGGGTGGCTTAGTCGGTTAAGCGTCCGACTTTCGCTTGGGTCATGATCTCGCGGTTCGTGGGTTCAAGCCCCGCGTCGGGCTCTGTGCTGACTGCCAGCTCAGAGCCTGGAGCCTGTTTCAGTCTGTCACTCCCTCTCCCTCTGACCCTTCCGTGCTCTCTCTCTCTCTCTCTCTCCTAGAAAGAAATAAAACATTTAAAAAAAAAAAAAAAAAGAAAGAAATAAAAAAAAACATTAAAAAAATTTAAAAAAAAATAAATAAACATTTTTATTTAAACATTAAAAAAACAACTGTGAAGTTTTGTCAAAAGCTTTTATTGTATTAGTTGAAAAGTTTCTGTGGGGTTTTTCTTCATTCTGTTAATGTGTCTATTACAATGATTTTCATGTTGACCATTCTTTCATTCTGGGAATGAGCCCCACTTGGTC